GGTAGGTGGGTAGGTGGGTCGGTGGGTCGGTGGGTAGGTGCGTAGGTAGGTGGGTAGGTGCGTAGGTGGGCAGGTGGGTAGGTGGGTAGGTGGGTAGGTAGGTAGGACCTACCGTGACGTTGCTGCTTTCTTTGGGCGAGCACGGCCACTCTGAAGCCTTTTCGGCACTGCGGCCAGGCAGGCCGCTTACTCCGATCAGCCCGGTGCCGCGATGCCCATAATCCTGCACCAACCATTCGAACAATCCTCGTGTCGAGAAAGACCAAGTTGCCAAATAGCCTTCGCGCAACATCTGCAAACCCTTATCCCAGGTGCAAAATCCAGGAGCCTGAACTCCAAGCCGAGTGTGCACATGTTCAGACGACATAAACCCTCATCTGCCAATCAAGGTGCAAGCCAGTCGCAGCCGACAATTTCCATATTCATCAGAATCACCCTAACCCTCGCAGCCCTCGCACCTTACATTCAACTTTAAACGTTCAGACTTGGTGCAGAAAATACGAGCATGCCATATGATTAACAAGTTGTACAAATACATTCGGCAGGATCTGATATGACGTAATCTAGTCAAAGCTGACAGGGAAAGATACACACACACACAGAGATACTATTTACACAGTTCACGGGTAGGTATACAGATGGATGGGTAGATGGATCGATGGATGGATAGGCAGATAGAAGGAAAGAAGGATAGATACAGGTAGGTAGATAGATAGATAGATAGAAGGGTGGTCAGCCAATGGATAGGCGCGCATGTGTATACATGTAGACATATATACTGCGCCATGCGGGAAGGTCGAGGGTGACCTGGACTTCTTTGTCAAGGCTTGGGCAGATCCCGTTGTTTTTTTCCGAGGCTAGGGGGTTTCAGGCTGCTTGGGCTGAGGCAACGGGTCGTACAAACGAATGCGGCATTAGGCGTCGCTGCGAGTCGCGCCTTCCAGACGTTTTGAGTGTAGGTTTTTGACCCACGCCTACGCTGGGCATATACTGAGACTAGCATGTAGAGCTGCCTCCTTGCCAGATGGATGGAAAAGTCTGGCGGCACAAATCACGTGACCACCTTACTGCGCAACCAGAAGCATAGAGAAAGGCGCCGTCAGGCTTGAGCATTCAGGGGCCTGAGAGAGGGACGTAAGAAAGGAGCACAAGAAGAAAGACAGAGAGACATTCAAACACAGCTGGGACCTGCCCTAAACCCCAAGCCCACATGCTCTGCAGACCGCCAGAGGACTTCACCACCAGCAACCCTGAGCTGGAACCTGCCTTATGACTGGCCTTCGGTTTCACACGGCTAGGGTTTTCGGGTTCAGGGCTTTAGGCTTTCGGGCTTTGGGGTTCGGCGTTTATTTTGTTAGGGCAGAAGGCAAGGAAGTCAACTCCCTGGGAGTGTAGCGTTGAAACGAGGCAAGCAGGTTTTCGTAGTTGCGCATAGGTAAGGATATCTTTAACTTGATGCGTAGCCCTGCTTTCTACAGCTCTGCCTTATCTGTTCTGTTCATATGTGTATTTGCATGTTTAGACAAGCAGGGGGGTAAGTAGACAGAGACTATATATTCTGTATATAGGGTAGATAGGCCTCTCTCTCTCTCTACATCTTCATACGTGGATTCATATGCCTGTACCGGAAACCATCTTATACAATACAAACATCAGAGTAGTTCGTTATCCAATTATTCGGGTTCCTTGTGACTATCGAAATAGAACATGCTCCAAGACCTTGTTCGAATGTTCTAAGGCCCCTGTGTTAGATAGATAGATTGATAGATAGACACATTTATATTGCTGTGGGCCCAGACCGACGAAGACATCGACTTT